CCCTACCCCCCCCCCTTACACCTGATCCTGTAAAAATTCTAATCTCTCTCCCGCCATATGAATAATAAGATAATAATTAACAAGCTAACAGTTTACACGCACTTTTCATGGTTCCTATATCAACCCTAGTCTAGTAACCAATCACAGGACGGAACACTATCACGTGATCAGTTCTCTAACCAATAGGAAACCTCAGCGGGCTTCTGACGGACAGAGAAAATGAATAAAGATGAATAATTGAGAGAAAAATGATGAGTTTTAATAAACCTTCGAAGATAACTGAAACCAGCTTCTCAGATCGGACAAAATCTTCTGATCAACTTCAAACTGCAGCATGGGAAGCAAGTACAATAGAATTTTTAAGTTTTTATTCAAAATATTTCTCATTGGTTTATTGGCGAAACTTTAATATGCGCCTTAAATCCGCCAATTTTGAATCTGAGTCCCTCCCTAAATTTAATATATGTGAAGAGTTTTAAGTATTTAACAGATATATATATATGAAATTGATTTAATTTTTAAATGTTAAATGGATTATTTTCTGTAATCTTGTATTGTTATTTTTTAAAGAAAACTTAAGCTTTGTATAAGGCAATGAATTAATAGTAAAGCCAAACTTAAGACCTATTGTGAATAGCTCATTATAACATTTATCAACAAAGAACTGTATGGTATATCTGTAATGCAATTAAAAACTTCAATTGTTTACATTCTTATTGTTGTTGTTGTACACATGAACATCCTATAAATGTTGACGAAACACATTTTTATGAATAACTAAATATTTTAATTAATCTTTATTCAAGTTCATTATAAAAGCAGTTTAATCCAATTATTAAATCTTATGTGAAACATATTATTTTTTTTCAAATTTTCAAATTGTTATATTTAATTGTATTATAAGTACTTTATCTACGATTTAGGGAGCAAGGTAGCACCACTTAGAGTTGGAAGGCGGAATACAAAAAACTTGCATCTTTGAGTGGTGTTATTTTTTTCCCTTGAACCCACCAGACCATGCACGGTTCCTAGAAGACAATGACCCGGAGAAATCAGTTCTTTAAATATTTTAGCATGCAGTGGGAGGTTTTCATTATTGTAAAGAACTTTTTATAATTTTTTGATATTCCACTCTGTTTAAATATATGAAAAACACTTTTAAAAAATCTATTTACGGAGATAGAAGTTTAGACCAACAAAATGTACGGAGATAGAAGTTTAGATTATCATCATTTACGGAGATAGAAGTTTAGATTATCAACATTTACGGAGATACACGTTCAGATCAACAGCATTTACAGAAATAGAAGTTTAGATCATAACGTATACTGAGATAGAAGTTCAGATCAACGAATTTTACGGAGAATGTGAATTTGATTTATGACATTTTTTTATTAACAAGATTTAAAATTCATGTATTGATTTTTTTATATTTTAAAATAAATTAATCTTCTCTACTTTCTATTCATTGAATTATTTCGAAAATGTAAAATCTAATTTAACTTTTAATTAACGACACATATGTTCCAAACTAATTCGATGTCGACTCACCTCAAAAGTTTTGTCCAGAATCTTTGCAACATGATAGTGTACAGTGTACACCTGTCATATTTAAAACTTCAACTATTTCAAGAAATATATAGACCAGGAACCGCCATATCTGATGCGTCAAATCTGTGCACTGTAGTGGGAGGAGATCAAGACAAAGAATTCATGGGCAACGCATCATTTTTGATGGAAAAGGGCACAAGGGGTGGAAGAAGAATATATATTTTTATTGTATTTTCCATAATGCCCAGAAAGTCAAAAGTCATATGTATTCGCTCTAGCTTGATTATTAACTTGTTTTTTGTTGGACTGCAATATCACATCAGAGCTGTAGTCCTTTCCCTTCAACTTCTGTGGGGGCACTGGGTTTGTTTACATTCCTCCCACTACACATTGTACAATACACAATTTGCGTATATCTGAATTGGGCGTTCCTGTATACAGTTCCTTGAACTATTTGATCTAGCAAAATTCAAAGTTTGAAATGTCTACGAGGACGAGTGGTCGCAAAGATAATGATAAAAAAGGCAATTGATTCGTTACTTGTTTATCGACTCTTACAATGATATAAAACTTGAAATGCATATTTTTTATTACATAAATATATACATATATGCGTAATTTAAAATGACCCATCATGGATAACCAGGAATTCCCGGTTCACAATGGTGCTTTTGAAAGCTTTGTTTCATCAAGTACAGAAAAAGATATCACTGTTTATAAGATTGAAAATTGATTATTTGTAGTTTTGGGTTCTCTAAAAAAGTGACAATTAAAGAATTTCTTCCGCAGGAAAAAAGGGAATTTTCAGAAATAAACACTTTTAAAACTAGGCAAGCGATAATCACGTGGTTTTAACCCTTCGGACCTTATCCCTGCAAGCTTTTACTTTCAATCACAATTTGACCAAGTGAAAAAACATTCCTCGTTTTTCCTTTTACGCTTTTTGGTCGACGTGCACTTTTAAAAGTATAAAAAGAAAATTTCGTGAAGGTTATAAACCAAAACGCGACTGAATTAAAATATAAGATATTTATTAGATAAAAATTGCAATGGTACCGTTGCGAATCGGGCTTTGCCGTCTTTTCATGGAGGCCCGAGGGTCATTTAACTAAAAATTGATTGTTTTCAATGGTGGGTTCTCTTTAAAAGTTACATGCGCGCATTTATGGTTCAGAGAGACAATGAGGGATATTCATATTAGAATATTCAATTAAGATGAGTTAGATCGCTATGAATATAATATGTTCTATTTATAGCAACGAGAAGAAAAGGTTAAAAACGAACTAAAACTATTGATATCTGAATAAGGAAAATTATAACTGCTAAGGAGGCAATAGGTTACCTGAAGGGGAATCGTCGTGAGAGTTCCCTCTATTTTTAGAGTGGCATGTCCGATTCACTACAATGAAGGATGATGAATAAAATCAAATCTTCAACTAACAAAAATAAGTGCTTTCTCAGAAAGGCTTGTATTCGGTGCTAACATACGTGCATGCATTTTAGAATTTTATTTTTCAACATTAAAAAAGAGCTTTTTATCCAAGTTCTTAAAAATCGTGTTTTTGTTAAAATAATTGAGTAATTCAAATTATAGAATTAAGGATTGTATGTCGAGATCAGAAATAATTTAATGAAATTAATGACGAGTTACTTACTTGAACACTATACACTCACAGCAGTTAAAGTATTATATATAAGATGTTATAGAAATGTTCCCAAAAGCATTTTCCAATGTAACAACTTCCCAAGGGTATTTTCACAAGTCATAGCTTCTCAAATGTGCAATTTCTCAAGCAGTTCGACCCATTTGTCTGTTCTAGCCGCAGCGGACGACCCCTAGCCATCCTAGCCGCAGCTATAGCCCCCATTCACTCTTGTATGTCGAGTCCATTAGCCCCTGATCGAATCAGGGTTCAGTCATGTGTTTGTTGTCTATTCTGAACCAATAGAAATATTAAGGCAGTAACATCTATCTTTCTATCTATCTCATTATCCAATTAGATACATGAATCCTTCAATTGTGTCTATTATCAGAAAATGGAAATATTGACTTCTACTGAAACTATAGTGCATTGCAGCAGGTGAGCCTTTACAGGGAAGTTGCCACTTGGTAAATTGTCACTTGGAAGTCGTGCTTTGGAAATTGTCACTTGGGAAGTCGTGTTTGGGACAATGCCGTTTGGAAAATATCTAACCACTGCAAGCTAATGAGAGGTTAAATTTATTCAACATCACTGGAACGACTAACAAAAAGAGACGGAAAACTACGGCAATATTTTCAACGAAAAGAAGCATTTTTGAGTAACATTTTTTCCTTCAAGTATTTACCCAAACCTGGTAAACTTTTCAAAAATCATGAACAATCTCTTTATACTCCAACTTGCTTACTTTGATATTCCCTTTGCGTACACATCCTTATACATAAAAAGTTTACGTTGCTGGTTTATATTCGGCGATGTGCAAAGATTAAATAAACGCATTTGAGTTATTTGTGTTCCAACACCGAACTTTTGCGTACCTACGGATACACCTGTGTTTTTACTCGTACTGACACGGATATACTTGCGTTTCTACTAATACCGCCACGGATATTCCTGTGTTTTTACTAGTACTGTCACGGATATACTTGGGTTTCTACTAGTGCCGGCACGGATACATCAAACCATATTTTAGCGCCCAAAACCTACCCATCCATCCTGTCACCAGTCCGTAAACAACCTCTCAATAGTATAGGATGGTTGATCATGATCCATTCCTTCAGATTCATGATTATATGGATACAAACTCCAGTAGTTATCCACAACAGATTTATTATTTCGAGGCAAAGAATGTGATTGAGAATTTAATTCCTGGAACTTGTGTTTCTTTTCTTGGTTTAAGGTGAGAGATTAACTATTAATCCTGAAGATTTCTTTTCAAGATTTCTTTTAATTTTGAGGATTTTCTATCCTTCCTACATTTTCCTGATCCTCCAGATCATCTTGATCCTCCAGACCATCTTGATCCTCCAGATCATCTTTATCCTTCAGATCATCTTTATCCTTCAGATCATATTGATCCTTCAGATCATCTTGATCCTTGAGATCATCTTGATCCTCCCTCAGATAATATTTATCCTACATATCATTTTAATCCTTCAGATCATCTAGATCCTACATTTTATTTGATCCTTCAGATCATCTTGATCCTTCAGATCATCTTGATCCTTCAGATCATCTTGATCCTCCAGATCATTTTGATTCTCCCTCAGATCATCTTGATCCTTCAGATCATTTTGATCCTTCAGATCATTTTGATCCTTCAGATCATCTTGATCCTTCAGATCATCTTGATCCTTCAGATCATCTTGATCCTTCAGATCATATTGATCCTTCAGATAATCTTGATCCTTCAGATCATCTTGATCCTCCAGATCATTTGATCCTCCAGATCATTTGATCCTCCAAATAATATTTATTCTCCAGATTCTTGATCCTTTGGATAATCTTGATTCTCCGGATAATCTTGATCCTCCGGATAATCTTGATCCTCCAGATAATTTTGATACTCTAGATCATCATAATCCTCCCGATCATCTTAATCCTCCAGATAATCTTGATCTTTCAGATCATCTTGATCCTCCAGATCCTCCAGATCATCTTGATGTTTCAGATCATCTCCATCCTCCAAATCATTTTAATCAAAATTAAGTGATCGGAATTATGGGTATCCAGAATATAAGTTCCCAGTTCAGATCCTCTTGATCCTCCAGATCTCCCTGATTTACTTCTTTGATAAAAACCCTCTTTTTTTATAAATGTTTTATTTCAGTTTTTTAATCTCCCGAGAACCCTTGATCTGTGGTCCGACTAAATCAGAGTTCTGGCGAGGAATTATTCATCTGTTCTTAACCTCAGCTTCTGTTCTAGCCACAGTGCTCATATATCATTTCACTACCAGTACTACTCATCCTGACATTGTCTCTGGCGGCCTAGGCGGGAATATATCCGATTATATATCCATAAAAACAGATTTGGAGATAATAAGTTCTCCGGGTTCTTTATCAACCTGTAGTTTAGCAGCACTACTTACCTTCTACTTTACAGTTTGCCTTCATTCATTTTCAATCATTTTCAAATCTAGGTAAGTCTTTATTTAGATTTCAATTTTTTCAAATTTTTAAAGTATAATTTTGACCTTAGATTTTATAAAACTTCTTTAACATTCATATTTCAGCAAAACTGAATCCAAATAAAAGGCTTTATCATTTTTATCTGTAAAACAAAATGTCTATTTTTGTTTTTAATAAAACACCTTTTCTTTGAGTATCTAATTTCTGTTTAAAAGAAATCATTCATATAAATTTGATCTAAAAACAATTATAATTAACTTTTAGATTAAAAAATTAATTACATTTGTAATTCAACAAAATTGTGAAAACCGAGAATTTCCTTATAAATTGATTTGTTAAAAGTGTATTCCTTCTTATAATTATAATATTTCTAAATCGAAGGAAAAGTAATATTCCTACAATTTTGAAAAACCTATTTAAAATCAAACATTTTTCTCTCAATGTATTTGGTCAGAATTTTCGTCATGACCAGCCCTATACAAAAATGAGGGTATTCCCTATTGCATGGTTTCCTATATCTATCTATATACTTTTCTTGCCTGTATGCCTGTATCCAATAAACATCAAAACGGCTGAACCAATCGGGTCCAAATTTGTTGTGGAACCTCACATGTCCTTAGAAAAGGTTTATGGATGCTCAAAATTACAAAATTTCTAAATAATCCGCGAACTTTTTTTGTTATTGTTTTATATTGTACACAGAGAAGTTGCTCACAGATGGAGGTACAATTAAAAGTTGAAATAGAAGAGGGCGCGAAGCGCCCTGAAAGCCTGTTTTTTTATATATACTACATTAATTTGTAACATTACAAATTACTCAAATTATATATTTTTATTTGTTTAGTCTACCTGGTCTACCCTCCAGATACCTTCTTGCTCTTGCTCTGACAGTTCTAACCATAATCTCTACCTCCATGACCACGGATTCTGGAGAACAAATCCACGAAATCAAAAATGGCGCCGCTCATTCAGCTGTTTTGAACAGTGTATCAGCTGTGCTTGCTTCTGGGACACTTTTTTCTACGTCGGTAGTGCTGCCCTCTATATTTACAATACTTACAGGTGGGCAAATTTGTTTTGTCCGAAAAAATTATATTTTAGATTGTATGTGATCCTTTCAGTTTATGATTAATAAAGTTTTATGTGAAACCTATAAATAAATCTAAAATAACAAATATTGTATATTGCTATATGTTATGAAAATTATTTTAGCATAATTAAGTTCACAAATTAGTGCCGCGCCGAACAAAGACGATCGTTAATTAGCCTTATAATTCAAACTTTCTTGAGACTTTCTCAAACTTCTCATAACAGAAAAAGTAAAACAATTCAAATACAAGTTTTTTGTTTTAGGAAGCTGGAGGTTACATCAGTTCGTACAGCTGGAAGCTGATATAAAATGGCGGCTTGTTCTTTTCTGCTGGCATATTCTAGCAGTCTCACTCTTCTGTCTTATATTCACTAGAGTCAGACTAACCCTTCATAATGCCCTGAAGGAAGGAAAGAAATCCATGAAACAGAAGCAGAAAATCCACAAACCTTCGAACTACCAGATAACGATAGAGAGGTCGATAACCAGCGAATCCGAGGATTCGTTAAATGGCTCAACAGCAAGAAAAGGGGATCTCCGAGGAGGGGAGGAAGGTGGGGAGGGTCGGGAGGGAGTAGAACGGATTGAAAGAGTTTCTCCTCTAGAAGAGTTTAATACACTCTACAGAAATAAGGATATGGTTCGGGCATCCATTAAACTTAAAGAAAGCAATGTCATTTAGAAATATATAAATAAATTTTAAATAAATGTGAATTTTACTTTTAAACCATTTTCCATGTGAAAGATAAATTTTGATCATTTACGCCTATAAATTTCCAAATGAGCAAAATGTGCAATGATGATGTGCACGCTTTTTAAATCTTTCAAATACTTATCTCAAGATGCAGTTGATTTGTATAAAATAGACTCTAACCATTTTTATCAAAATAAAAAAGTTTACATTAATAAATTCGTTATATGCGTTAAAAATCGCGCACACTCATGTATACACCATTTATAGCAAACTAATTGTTACATCCAAAGCATGGGTATGAAAAGATAGTAAAATCGTCTTTGACTTTTGATTAAAATAGACATTTTGGAGGAACAAATACATTAGACTTAAACGCTTTTCCAGATTATGGTCTTTTATAAAAAAAGAACGAAAAAGTGGATAGGACAATTTCGATCATTTAAAAAGAAAACTGCGTTGTGCGTACAATGTACATGGCATTTCAGTCAAGTTCTAAGTTTGAAACCGGCAGACAGCGTTTTTGAAATCCCATGATAAGTGGAAATATTTGATGTTTTTTATTTAATTTGATCATGTTTATTGGAAGATTGGAAAATAGATAAATAATGAATATATGATATTTTTATCTTTTTAGTTTAAGTATACATTTTAGATGTTTAAATATACTGGTAGAGTCAAAATAAACTTTTTTAATCTCAAAATAAAACGTATAGAAAAGCAAAAAAGTATTAATGTAGAATTTCTATCTAGTCCTTGTAGAATTTCTATCTAATCCTTGTAGAATTTCTATCTAGTCCTTGTGAAATTTCTATCTAGTCCTTGTAGAATTTCTATCTAATCCTTGTAGAATTTCTATCTAATCCTAAAAACGGTTCCATAGAAATGAAGAAAATTTGTAAAGCTGTATTCAGTTAATTCGGAATTTTATCTCTAGCTCTGTTTGAACACCTTAAAGATCTCAAAATTAAAATAAATGTTTAAAAAAAATTAGAACATTTTCAATAATTGCGAATTGCGAAGCTGCAAACTGTGGCATTTTAAACTCTGGTCAAGGAGCTAACCTTAATACTAGAGATGTCAACGATAGTGTAACGTAACGTAAAATGTACGTATTTGTACGTTACGTTAAAATAATGTGTAACGTTTGGATATATTCTATATAACGTGAACGTTAAAAGTTAACGTTATAGGAGCTTATACCTAACGTTAACGTTAGAGGAATATACCCCCAACGTTAGCGTTTTGTGGAAATGTAACGTTATTTTTCTAAGTTATATTACATAAGCTTTAACGCAACGTTGGGAAAGTTTTTTAAAACGGGAAATGCAAAAGCGTAACGGAGCTTACTGTTTTTTCACTAACATTTACTAAATCTTAACGTTGTATAAGGTATTCAAGTGCAGAAAATTCAATACGTAACGTTACTCTATGCCAAAAAATTTCATAATGTGCAACGTAACGTTTCAAACGTTAATACATTTGATGAACACTATCGTAACGAAAGCTAAAATCTAGAAAAATCAAAACGTTGACATCTCTACTTAATACATTGATTTATTACGCGGAACTTTTGGGGATTTTTTTGTTATATCTCTTAATAAGTCAACCCGATCATAATGACACTTAAGAACTGATTAGCGTTATCTATAACCGTCACACTGGTTGCTTTACTATATACGCTTTGACGTTCAAAAAAAAATGTTAAATATTACAAAAAAGCCATGTATTAGAGTTTCATAAAAATTAGTTTTTATTTAGACGATGCTACATACTCTATTTTTTACTCAGCCTGTATTTTTTCCCATATGAATCAAGTACAATAGATGGCAACGTAGTATTTGTACACTGTCAGTACAGCTGCATTCTTACATCACAGTGTCAACTTAGTTTTTGTATCCGACAAAATTATTAATAATAGTGATAATTTTAGAATAAAGAGCGAAATAAGTGAGGAAATTTTGTTTTCCTTGTTATATTTGACACTTGTGACGTCGTGTTTAATGGGACCATTTCTCTGTTGCCACCTATTGTACTTGATAATCTATTTGATATGAATATGAATGTATTGAAGTGAAGCATATTTCCCATTGAGCCTACTTGTAAAGATCCAAAGATACAGTGAATGCACAGTACACAGTGTACAGTGTACAGTGTACCCGTATTTATCCAATCTTGCATCAATCTTCTGAAGGCCTTGCAGTTAATACAACTGCAGAATATGCAATATACAATATCTTGGAGAATTATCTTAACCACGCCTCTACATTCTATCTGTCTATCACACTGTTAAATTGTCTAATTATTTGTCTTTCTTTCCATAGAGGTAGGAAAAGCACACCACACCAATTTTTCGTCAGACCTCGTGTTGTTTATAATAGTTTATAACATTTTATCCTGTATTCTGTTTATCTATCTATCTATCTATCTATCTATCTATCTATCTATCTATCTATCTATCTATCTATCTATCTATCAATATACAATATACAATATACAATATACAATATACAATATACAATGTACAATGTACAATATACAATATACAATATACAATATACAATCTACAATATGAAATATATACAATATACAATATAATATATACAATATACAACATACAATATACAATATACAATGTACAATATACAATACACAATATACATCACATTATACAATAAACAATATACAATATACAATATACAATATATAATATACAATATACAATATACAATATACAATATACAATAAACAATATACAATATACAATACACAATAAACAATATACAATATACAATATTCAAAATACAATATACAATATATAATAAACAATATACAGTATACAATATACAATATACATTATACAATATGCAAAATTTAAGATACAATATACAATATGCAATGTTATATACAATATAACTGTTTAAAAACTAGATTTTTACATCTTTTCTGTACAATACACATACATACAATTAAAATATTTTATGTGCACTTTAATTGTAAGTACATTTGTGGTCGTGTATAATGTATATGAAATAATAAAAAAGATACATATTGAATATGATTAAATTATATCATTAAACGGGAAAACATTCATTCAAGTTTTATTTGAGCTCTACTCTCAACCGGATTATTTATAATTAAATCTATTTATTCATTCATTTTGTAAACATAGATCGACAAAATTTCCAAATACAAAACAAATCAAAATAGATCATATATAATAGAATATAGACATTTGAAGATAAACACGAGTTTAAATTTGGTCGTTTTTTAATGCTTTTTTGAAAAGGTGCTCTTTTACCCAACTTAAACTTTTTTATTTCATAGTAACCATATTTTCATATACTTATGGAACTTACATTTGCCTCATTTTATCTGGCTTTATACCTATCTATCTACCAGTCTACTTACCTACCAACCTACCTACCTACCTACCTACCAACCTACATTTCTATCTACCTACCAACCTACCTACCTACCAATTTACCTACCTACCAACCTACCTACCTACCAACCTACCTACCTATCAACCAACCTACCTACCAACCTACTTACCTATCTATCTACCTACTTACCTACCTACCTACCTACCTAGCAACCTACCTACCTACCTACCTACCTACCTACCTACCTACCTACCTACCTACCTACCTACCTACCAACCTACCTACCAACCTCTTACCTACCTACTTACCCACCTACCTACGAACCTATCTACTCATATCTTTATCCATCTATCTATGCATTGTCTAGATATAATTGCTCCATCTGACACTGTACAATGGACAGCTTAATACAAGAAGATAAAATTTTGGAGATTAATTTCATCGTGTTACTCAAACCACACGGCATAAGTTTAACAGACATGTTATTTATTATATAGTCATCAGCCGTGTTACTCAAACCACACGATATATATTTATCAGGTTTGTTACTCAAACTCATCAGGCGTGTTACTCAAACCACACTATATATATTCATGAGACATGTTACTCAAACAACACGATATATATTCATGAGACATGTTACTCAAACAACAAGATAAATATTCATGAGACATGTTACTCAAACCACACGAAATATATATGTATTTATCAGACGTGTTACTCAAAGCACACGAAATATATTTATCAGTAACACAATGTTACTCCATCAAAAAAGCATTACATTTAAACGTTTATAAATAGGATCTATGGGTGCCATTTGTGTACATGTTTATTTCTTTAGATCAGCTTATCTCAAAAGATAATTGTCATTGACTATAAAATTTGGTATATTTCTTTGTATTTTAAGTTGCAATCTCTGTTTGTTTGTTTGTCTGTTTTTTGTCCGATCATAACTCTTAAGAACCTTTTGACCAATTTGCCTCAAATATTGATTTGAGAACTCGGAAGAACCACGGGATCTTAGCTTAAGACCAAGTGCGGGTAAACGGCTGGAGTAACTGTAAGTACTCAGGGCAACGCTGGGTTCCCAAACTAGTTAAGCATAAACCTTGGACATGAGCCAACTACTTCAAAGTTTTGTTTGGGACACCCTGTATAGATTTATAATTTTAATAAAAAATTCATTAAGTAGCAATTTCTAGTTATCCATTGGGTACAGCTAGGTCACCTGGTCAGGATATTGCGGTCATCCCCCACCCCCTCTCCTTGTAAACTGCCCCCTCCCCCGGATATTCCCCCCTTAACTCCTGAATTACCAGTCAACCCTTTTACCAACACATGTTCCTTCTATTCAATGCAAAGAGGGGAAAG